ATTTTGGGATCCCTGTACAAAAGTAAATCCTTATTTTTTAGCCTTAGATAAATACCATATAAATCAATCATGCTTTTCCTAAATAGGTCCCTTTCATCCAATGTTAAAGACTAATAAATATTAGCTCTGTTAGAAACATTGCATAATAAAAATCTTTCAATTTCCATTATAGTCAATTAATTATCTTGATATTTTCCTCTCTTATTTTTTCTTGCCAGTGGACCAACACTGGAGAACATTAAAGGAAAACAATATGGTTTTAATGTACGGTAATTCAACATATCTTATTAATAATAGGCTTGGTTTATTTCATACTTTTTTAAAAATAATGTTTTTGCTTAAAATTAGCATAAATGTTTGATTACTACATAACTACTAAGACATGAAACGCAATTAAGAAGCCAACTAATGAGTCAAACTCTTAGTAGTATCTGGCATTTGAGAAAAATATCTTGGAAAAAGGACTGACCAGGGATACTTCTGGGATTGCTGCAGTGGGGGGATTCGAAGTTAGATTCTTCACTAGGAGGGTCAGCTTCTCAGAGCCAGCGAGGAAGGAATGTCTCATGTGTGGACTTGGAATTTCAAACTCTAGAACTCTGCTGCCTGCAGAAGGGTTGGGCCATTTCTGGCAGGTCAAGAATAAACAGGAGCCATGGGTTACTAGGAAAAATGGGCAGAAGGAGAGAGGGAGAGCAAAAGTGAGGATGAAATATGGTGAAACTGAGGGCAAGAGAAGAGGAAGAACCAGGAGAGTGGAGTGAGGAGAAAGAGGTTTCCATGTCACCCAGCTGCTTCCTGAGCCTTTTGGATGGAGCACTTTTCCTCCAACTTGTAGAATTTCCTCTAGTGTTAACATGGAAACTGCCTTTCTAAGGCCAGGATTTGGTATCAATCTTTTCATAGGATTAGCTGCTGAAGGTAGTGTTTGCTTTAATAGGATGCTGTGAGTCAGTTTTCATGTTCAGATTCTTATTGACTTCCCTTCAATATAGAAAGCTTTGCAAATAGGGTGGAGTCAATCTACTGTAGCTTTTGAATCACCAAAGGACAAAATGTGGGATTATTTTTTTTGTTGTTCCATGTCTCTCTCCAGGTCCTAGCACTGGCAAGATGCTGGGAACATAAAGAGGAATGCAATGAAACCGTGTCAGTATCTTATGATTCATATAGCTATTGAGGTTTGCAGATTTAAAACAAATTTGGTCATGTTTGAGGCACTACAATCTATTCAATTGCCAGAACTTTAAATGTAACCCAAGGAAATGCAGGCATAGAGAAATAGTAGGAATCTGAGAATATATTTTATATTTGAGGGCTGTTGAAACTTAGCTCATAGACGTTGGTAGCTGGTAAAGGACTTTAATCACAAGAAAAGTCATATGATCTACTTAGTGATAGTAGGTCCCTCATATCTGGGATTGGGGAGATTTTAAGAGAAATCAGATTTGAGTGGGGAGATTATTAGTAGGGTCACCATATAAACCAGCACTTCTAGAACACTGCAAATTTCTTCTTTATTTTTGCCTGTGCATAATAAGTAGCATGCATTTCAGTTTGGATGATAAAATCCATGGACCACACTAAGAGTCCTACAGCGGTCTAGGTAAGATTCTGTATTTGTTTCCGTACGCTAAGGGTTGGTTAAGGAATGGAGAAGGGGTTTTCACCCAGCACTATTAATGAAAACAGGCACCTTAACACCTTTAGACTCTCTGCAGTGTGCTCTGCACACAGGCCTGAGTGGGGATAATAGAGATCCCAGTGAAAACCTTGCACATCAGTCACATGCAAACTGTGTACATATGCAGTGTCTGAGTGGCATAGCACTCCTTGGGCCTACTGTTCATTTGTCTCATTGGTGTTGCCTCATAAATCTGGAGAGGACTAGAAGGGAAGAGATAAAAGCAACCGATGAAAGAAAGTTAAGCTTTTCTGTGCAAGGTCTGAAATTTCAAAGATAATTTTGATACTGCAGAAAGGGCCATGAAACCATTTCAAGGTTTCAAAAGTCTGGGGTCATTATGTACTTGGAAGTTAAATGACAGAGAAGCCATTTAGTTAGGTGAAAGAGGAAATGGTTTGCTTCCTAGTATACATGTTTAACTATGACATATCCTTTGGACCACCTAGGAAAATGCACTCTGTGGCAATAGTTGGGGAATATTTTTATAAGAGAGAATGATAAGTAATTGTAGACCCAAGAAATGTTGCTATCAGAAATATGCTTCAGCCTACCCCAAAAAATTGCATAAGAAGAAATGAAAAAGATAAAGGCTGCCATTTATTTTATTTTGAAAAGTTTTTCTCTCTAGTTTCTCATTTCACACATAAGAGGCAAGCATCTCCCCACCTCTAATCCCACTATAACCTTGTATTTATAGAGTGCTTATCTCCCAGGAGCTCAGAGGGCTTCTTCTAAATCCATGCTGCTTCAGAAAGTATTGCTTAACCAAAAGGGGATGCTTTTATTTAATCAGTCACTTCATTAAGTGTTTGCAGGAGCTGGGAGCTGGAATTGCCTTAGGTCTGCTGCTGGTGTGGCAGGCTCTACCAGTGCAGGTCACAGCTCCACGGCCCCCAGGCAAAAGGAAGCATGGGATTATCATTTTGCAAGTAGGAACCAGGCTTGCTTTCGTGGTTTTACTTTCATCTGTGATTCAGGGAGATGCTTCTAATCTGCAAAGCATTACCCAGTTTGCTGATTTGCCTTCATGACTCTTGGTGTCCCTGAAACATTTCTGCTGATTATCTCTCTATTTGGGAGCTCTTGTATATCCACAGGCAAGGCAATTTGCTTCAATAATTTTAAATCTTGGCCTTCTCTCCCCCGGTCATTTATATTTTTCAGACTGTTGTGTGCAGAATTTCATTTCACCACACTTATTTGCTCTGGTTTTTGTTCCAGAAAAATAGAATTGGATTTAAAACAAAAATACCCTCTGAAGTAGAAAGGCTGGTTTTGAGGATGGAAATACATTAGAAATTCCTTCAGAATTTCTGTTGTTGTTGCAGCTTTTTATTTTGTTTTTTAAATGCATGCTTCTCATACAGCCATAATTCAATGGAGTCAACTCGAACAATTGCCTCGAATCCACTGAAAGTTTGTCTCTCCATATTTTTCATTTTGTTAAAAAGTTATTTTTAGAAAAGCAAAGCAGACTAAAAGCAAAGCCGAGCCTGTGCACAACTCTAGAAACCCACAATATTTCTAATATCAGGCTCTGGAAAGTTCTGCACAGCCTTCCCATCCGTTTCTTTGTTCCCTTCCTTTGTCACACTGCTGCTCCTGTCTATCGCCAGTGTCCAGCTTTTAGCTCCACTTAGTAGAGAGAACCTGCCCCTCATCACTGAGACACTGCAAAGATAAAATGAGTAAAGATACGTGAATCTAACGCTGGCAAAATAAAAGGCAGGGTGCGAGGGTTGGTGGGGGATAAAGGAAAGAGCTGAGGTGTGGTATGGACCTGCAGCGATTGTCTGTAATGAATGTAAATCATCATGTACTAATAAAAATCTAAAAAATTTTAAAAAGAGATAAAACTAAAATAGTGTTAACAACTTGCTGTCTTGTGGGGTCGCATCAGTAGCCGTGCAAGATCATAAGCACCCCGTAGGGCATGGAGGAGATGTGAATGCCGAGGTTGAGGGAACCCTGTGCTTGTGCACTATTACAGAAACACTCCAGGCTAGAAATCAGAAGACACCGACCGGGACATTTTGGTCCATGTCAGTAACATGGAATATCATGTGGGTTCGTGAAGCAATTTTCAAAAGTCTATTAGGAATATGGTTTTGATATTAGAAATCACATCATTGATATTGGGTTTATTTATTTGTTTATGTGGTGGCACTGGAGAACCCATGGCCTTCACATTCCTATCCACTTTTTAATTATTTGTTTTTTAATTTTGAGACAGTACATTGTCCAAGCTGGGCTCCAACTTGCGATCCTGCGGCTTCTCACAATTTGGGATTGCAGGTGTGCTCCACAGGCCTGGCTGTAATACTGTTTTTTGTTCTTGAACAAAAATGTTCTTGTGGACCTGGATAATGGCAGGCAAATACCACATGTGATTCTTAATCCTCAGAGTGATCCCAGAATGAAAGCACCTGTACACACATTTTTGTTAGGTAGAATAAACCCAGGGGAGGATAAGCTGTCAGTGTTTGACTGTAAAGACAGCATTAAGTTCCAAAAATCACCGCTGTGCCATGAACAATATTGATTCAAACTGAAACAAAACGATGGTATTAATGTTAATGTTAAAAAATTCATTGGTTTGAATATTTGCTTGAGAACCAGTTCAACAAGCCAAAAGTAGTTTCCATCTAGCATCACTAACATTTTCTCTGTGTAGAAGACAAATACACAAATTGTGGACCCTGGAGTTATGACCAGCCTGAGATACAAACAACTTGGGTTATGATCAGCATTTTAGTTTTATCTTAGAACCAAAGTCTTGAGTCATGACCCTAATGCTGGCTGGTTGTGCTTCCAGAACTTCTAGGATATAGATTTAAGCCTTAAAGGGTTTTGAAGGAACATGATAACATCCTTTCCTGTACAAGGTTAAATGAGAAATCCTGGGCTAGTGTCTCTCTCAGGACACCGAAATCTGCCTGTGTATAGGAGAGAGACTTTGAAGGCTGGGTAGAGAAGCTGGAGCCTCCAATTGACAGCTTGAGTTACAACCAATCCTCAGGAACGAATTGAGTTCCTAAGTCAAGAGTCCCCTGAACTTAAAAAATGACAAACTTTCTCTAAATCCCCAGCATTTAAAGACACAAAGCCAAAATCCATGTTAGAGCTGTTTAGAGGCATCTATTTTGCTAAGGACTTGACTTTTGGGGCTCCATGAAATTGATACTTTGTACAGATTTTTAAAAGCTATTTACATAAAACTGGCCATTTTTATTTTATTGTAATGTCATATGAGACTAAAAGACACTCTGATTAGAAGGTGATCACTAATAGGCCTCTTTTGTGTCTTTTCTAGGATTCAGGAAGAATTTACAAAACATCACTGCACAGTAATGCAGCTATTACAATGATCTATTTGGGGAAAAATGTGCACCTATCTTATGATGATCCATATTTTCGAGATGAAATCAAAGTTTATCAGCAGCACTGTGGTGGAGAAAACCTGTGTGTGTACAAAGGCAAACTGCTTGAAAAAGGTACATGTGCAAGTTGGATTTCTCCTAATTGCTTGGGGTCAATGTCATAGATAAACTGTTGCTGATAATAGTATCAAAATGACTTCAATCACTTTATAAAATTATGCATCTCCAGGGGTTTATAAACCAGCTGCCTGAAAGTAAATCTAGATTTACTTCCCCATGATTGGAATTGAAGCAGCAATTACTCTTGCAGATTGTGGAAGAAGAAATTTGGAGTGATTTAGCTGGGTAACACATTAATTTTGGGATAGAGATAGATATCTTTAAAATATTGCCCAAATAGGCTGTCCCTCAAATTACAAGGTAACTATTTGGCTTTCCACAGTGAATTATATGATACATTATTCTAAGATAAAAATAACAGATTGGAAATTTGTTGTTTAGAGGTGTGTTGAAGTAAAATCACAAATCCAATAAACTCCAGGGTGAATCACGCCTAAGTGAGTTGGTGCAAAATTTGGCTAAATGACCCTTTAGTATATTTCTTCTGTTGTTTGATTGTAAATCTGTGTCAGAAAAAGAGATCATTTTTACATACAATATAAGTTATGCATATTTACTCTAGCATTTTTATTCAAGATTTAGTTGCATTGAGCACTGGTGAAAAGAAAACACATTTATGGTGTTTTAGTCATTATTTCCTTGCTTAAGAAGCTCTGTTGAGAGAGTAGTATTTTGAGTAATCATAAGTAATATTTGGGAAATCTTGACATAGACATAGGCATTAAGGAAGGAGACCTAAGGAAGGAGACCAGAACACACATGGAAGAAAAATGACCATCAATGAAAAATATTTCACACCCTAAATATAAAACTGTAACTACATATCTAGGAATTACATATTGTAAACCTCCTCATCTACAGGAGTAAACAGGAGAACGCTGGTTTTAACTTAAACTAAAACATGATGCCCAATTACTCTAGGAGCAATTTCTTTCAATCTTGTATGAGATTTCTTTTGTCTCATCTTGTCAAGGCATCTCAGAATTTATTGCCTCCTAGATGGGAAAAAGGGTGGACTCCTGCATTGGTGTGGGTCCCCGAGGTCACATATCCAGAGCAGGAGCTGTGTCCTTGATGAGGTACAGGACCTGGCTCGGGTGCATCAGCCCCAGGTAGCTCCTCTCCGCACTTTAATAATGCGAGAGGTGTGGAGCTCCTAATGAGTTTGGTAAAGATAGCAATGTAATGCATACACTTGTTTTTTGAAAGATTACAATTCAGCTCTCAATTTAGGAGAATTATTGAAACTGACAGTGAAAACCGTCCTGGGTCTTAGATAATGCTGCATTCAATGAGATACATCTACAGTATGCATTTGGCTGCTGGAAAAGTAGTAGATGCAAATGAAAAGAAGAAGCCATAGCTAAATGACTTTTTTGGTAGAGGACATACTCTGTGATAAGAGTGCGAAAGCTAAGCGGGTGTGAGGAGGGAGGCATGCACATCTCTCCTGGGATTTTTTTGCAATGGCTTGGGAAATTCTTGAACACTAGCATGGACTGGAGACTTAAACATCTGAATCTTGTCCATATGATAATTTTGTCTCAGCTTGCCCTTGATTGCTAGGAAAGTAATTGTTCAAAATTGAAAATTTGGGTGGCTTGGCATTGTCTTGAGGTTCAGCCATCTTAGCAGTTCAGCTGAGCTGAAAACAATCTGCCCTTTTGACAAATCAAAGTGTGCTCAATTCAGTGAAACATGAGTAGGTTTTTAGAAGACTTCGGTTTTAAGCAAAGGACCTTTATCATATTCTTGGAAGAGGAAACTCATTAAAATGTGGCAGTTGCTAAATGATCTTGCACTTTTATTAAAAATAGCAATAAAATTATTTAAGAATGCAGCAAGCCATTTTGTATTACCAAAGGAATTGATCTTGTCTGTGGGAGGGAGATTTTAGAGCCCAAGCAAAGGCTGACTGCCTCCTCTGTATACATATGAAATGACTGAATATTTTTACCACTTGTAAAGAGTATAGTTTCTTTCCAGATATTTTTATTTGCCATATTTATCTTTATGATGGAAACAAAACTTTGGCCTCTTGTCTTTTTATAGCTTTCCATCCTTGTCCTTCTGTGACTGCTTTTGTGAATCTCCTTAAAATGATTGCATTGCCTGTGTTTGTGTATTCCCCATTACTCCTTGGCAGAGAAGTGCCTTCACTCTGGAACCCACACACGCATCCTTGCACTATTAGTTCTTTCGTCTGCAGTTCTCTCTCTCTAGTTCAAATTTTACCCTTTTAAGACTTGCAAGGCTTCAAGGCTGTCTCAGCTGACTTCTATCCATCTTATCCCACGAGCACATGACTCTTAATCTATCCTCCAAACTGGATCATTTCCTTATATTCTGTCTCAGACTTACTAGTTTTTCATTACTTGTTATACTGGGTTGAATATCTTAATTTCTAAAAAGAGTTTTGTTGAGTTGCAAATTAAACGCCCTAAAAGGAGTCCATTGTTTGTGATTCCTCTGATTTGTACATGGTGGTATTTATTTATTTAATTATTATTTATTTTGTAGTGAAAATTAAGTTTATTCCCCTGCATTAAAACATTTACATATGGTCATACATATTTCTTAAGTGTATCCTGTGGTTTCTGTTTTCCTCCTTTATTTCTGTTGGTCCCTGTTAGCAGTAATCCTGGAGAGTTGGGATGCACACATAAAACATCTTGCTTCTTTTTGGATCCCTTTCTCTCACCTCCCTTCCACCTTCTACCATCTCTTTTCCGTTTTCCTTCTGCACTGATCTCTCTCTGTTTCATTCTCTCTTTTATTTTGTTATTTAATTTATTTGTATTTTGAGTTTCTTGTATAAGAGAAACCATATGATATGTTAAGTTTGTGTCTGGTTTATTTTACTTAACATGTTCTCAAGGCACATCCATTTTCCTACAGATTGATTTTTGAATCAGTTTTGAATTGTGTAAATTTTATAGTCATCTCCCCATCACAGACCAGTGTAGGAATATCCCCCACATATCCAGAAGTTTCTGTATGTCGCTGGCAGTCTGTCCTTACCCTCACAGCCAACTGCAGGCAGCCACTGATCTACTTTGTGTACTAACACACTTTATTTTCTAAACACAGCTTCTGGACACTTCCTGTAAATGCAGTCATACAACATTTGGTATTTCAGGTCTTAATTTGAGAATTATGTATTTGCATTGCACTGATAAGATCAAGAAGTTTCAGATTTTGTATTTCAGATTTTTAGATCAGAAATGCTCAGCAATGTAAATTCTTATGTAAATATCCCAACCTTAAAATTGTTTGAAATCTTGTCCACCCATACATTTCAGGTAAAGAATATCAACCTGCACAAATCATTTGTCACTCTCCTAATATTGCGAATATGTGCCACAGCATAGTTTTTTTTTTTTTTTTTTTTTTAACATTTTCCTCAGTTGTCAGACATTTCTATCGTTTCTTGTTTGGGACTATTAAAAACAATGCCATTATGAGCATACATGTAAAATTTTTGCATACACATATGTTGTCATTTCTCTTGACTAGGTCCCTAGAAATGGTTTTGATTTTTTTTTTTTTTTGAGTATAGGTCACATTTTCAAATATCTCTTGATATTTTGGTGAGAAAAGATTTTAGATAATGTATTATAGACTGTAACACAGGAACTAGGGATTATAGCTTCTGAAGTTTTCCTTTTGAGAGTTTTTTATTCTTTTTTCTTTCCGAGGGAGGATTTGTAGCTGTTGTTAACTTAAGCAAAATAAATTTATGAAATCCATTTCCTATCACCATGATGTAAAGCTATCGAAGTTTCGGTTAGATTTTTGAAAAGGTATTTGTATGTTTTAGGCTAAACTCTATGATTTCAGTTTGGTGGTCATCCAATGATTTGTCAACCATCCTGGTGCACAAGGCCTTTGCCTTACAGAGGCTCTGTTTTGGGGATATTAGTTTCTTAGGGCTGACTGTACCCATCTCCCCCCAGTTGTGGCTTAAAGCAACAAAAATTGGTCTCTCACAGATTTGAGACAATACAAATAAACTGAAGGTGTTGATGGGCTCAAGCATCTTGAAGGGTCATTCTTTTTTTGACTTTCAGAAATGGGAGGGGAAAGGAAGAGGAAGTAAAAGAGAATCCAGATGCAGTATTTCTATATATCAGTCCGCCACAGGAATGTGTTTATGTATTATAAACATTTAATTAACAAAAATTAATAATAAAATATTTAAAAATTTATACTTTTACTTTATAAAGTAAAAAAGACAAAATATAGTTCAGTCAGGAACAAGAACAGAAAGAGGGTATTTAGAAGTCTTAAAAACTGTGACTATATTAATACTTTTATTTAACAAAGATGTAATTCTAGATATTAATAACAAAAGTTATGGAGGAAATAAGCTTTTAAAAATCTACATTACTTATTTTATGAAGGTGAATTCTAGATAAGCATATATAAACACACTTAATATACACATTTAGAAGTGTGAAATTACCTGACAATGCAGTAGGTTAAACTTTTATTTAGTAATTTCAGTAAAGTGTAAGAACCTTAGAGCATGGGAGGTTATTTTAGTAGTGATATTCTCTTCTCTTCTTCTAAGGGCAGCAGTTATTGGATTTAGGGTAAAATTTAAATCTAGGATGATCTCATCTTGATTTCTCACTAATTCTGTCCATGAAGAGCCTGTTCTGAACCAGGTTGCATCTGAGCTTCTGAGTAGCTTGGGATTTCCATGGTGTCGGGGTCCATACAAAGTGCAGATGACTTACAAGTCAGTTCCATCTGTTATTTTCCACCAGGTTCTTTGTGCTTCCTCTGTGCAGAGAAGAAGCCCTAGACAGCTTGGGAACGTAAGAGTTGGGTAGACTTCTTACATCCCTGTGAGCTGGAATATGTGGAGAGCATATGGAAAGCCACAACAGCTGCCTGATTGCTTCCATCTCCTCACTAAATTTTGGATTTGTCCACTGGCCAGTGGTTGGCTGTAATTAGACCTCCAGTCTTAGGGAACTTCAGCCTTCCTTGTTAGTTTAGCTTCCAGATTACAGCTTATTACTGGAGAAACCACAAGCCTGGGTTTTTACATCTTTTCCCTCAATCAAGTCAGCCCCATCGACAGGGAAGCTGCTGGCTATTTATGTCCTGTCTTACCTAATTAGAATGACTGTGAACCCCTAGAAGAAGAGTTCTTCAGAGTCTTAGTTTTTACCTAAAGTTCAGTTATTTTTCGTGAGTTAAATGCTGCTTATAACTGGTTTTAAGTCTTCGGTTCATTTCCAAAGCCACATTTTTAAGGGGAGAAGATTTGGTGACCTTATTGCAGAACTCTGCCACATTAATTTTACCTTTCTCACTAAATTATGGCTTCTTTGAGAAGAAGCCACATCTGATATTTTTCTAGTATTTTTGTTTTTCTCCAGTGCCTGAAACAGTGCCACCCTCTGTCAGGAAATAACGAATAATGACATTTTACAAATATTATAAGGTGCTTGCTAGCAGTGTGTACTATATAACCCTTAACACTGCTCTGTAAAGTGGGGAGACTGGGGCTCCACCCCAAATCTCCCAGTGTATAGATGGGAATTCTGAAATGAAACAAATCTGAGTGACTTACCATGGCATGCATCACTAAGTGAAGAACTAGAAAATGAACCAAACCCTCTGGAGTCAGGACTCAGAGACGTCACAGTACTTCAAAATGCAACATTACAAAATAAACAGCAAAAGGAGCAAGGTGAGGGTATAATTTCTTATGTAATTCATTCAAACAGTAAAGAACAAAATGAGGTTCTGCAGTGTCCTGTATGTGCTACACACACATCCAACAGAAAAGCAGGCACATCTAGGAGTTGATTTCTGTGCCTGCTTTTGACATTGCCTTGAGTACATTTTCTTCCTGGCTGGGTGCTCAGGAATTGCCAAGCACATGCTGCAGGGGAATGGGTTATATTGTGTGGTAGCAGAGTTGAAGTTTCTACAGTAAAGTAAAAGAAATGAAACATGCTTTCTAGTTATCACTTGAGGAGTCAGTTTATCATTAAAACAAGCAGACTTCAAAAACTTACTGTGTGTTAGGGTCCCCAGATACTAACTTCTCAGTTTTTTCCTAATTTGTTTAATTTTGCATCCCAAATACTGAGGTCTAAATCTTTAGAATAACTTATATCTTATTTAGACATCGTTAGGGATATAATGTGACATTATTTTAGTATTTCTAGATGATGGTGAAATAGATTACAATAATGGACTGTTTACCAGATGGGGAGACCTCAGTTCCCATTGTTCTGGGTCCCGGGTAAACTAAGATGAGTTAAATCCATCTTCAGCTCTCGTGGATTTCACAACCATACAAAAGGGCAAATATCTAGATTAGGATTTCCCAGTGGGTTCCCAGGGCCAGTAGCATCAGTCTTTGCTGGACGTTCCTTAGATAAGCAAGTTCATTCACCCCAGACATATTGCATCAGAAACTCCAGTGTGAGGCTTAGGGAAATATATTCTAACAAGCCCTCTAGGTGATCCTGGAACACATTAAAGTTTGAAAACTCCAGATGCAACCATATTTTCATAAGCTGCAGTACCTGCACCATTAGAAATGAGTGCAGAGTGGAGAGGTGAAACTTGTTTACTGTATTACTGGTAGAAGCAGAGCCGTCTGCTAAAGGGATTATTAAGGAGCAGGCTTTTGAATGATTCTGTAGAAAACAGGGTTGGGTAAGATTTTTGTCGAAAAGAGTTATAAGGATTTGGAATAACTAAAAACTATCAATCACAAGCATTATTCTTAATTTATTGGTAGGATGTTTGTGTGGGTGGGCAAAGAAAAAGAGGCACAAAGCCAAACAATTGAATGTGGCTTAGAGATGGTATAACTCTGCTTCCTTTACATATACGTATATTAGGATATTTAAAATCACAACTAGAAATACAATTTTTTTAAAAAAAGTACTAATCTCATGACAACACTTTATCATCATGTATTTTGTCAGTATACCTAGCATAGCAAGATAGAGGCATGGGATTTAAGGAGATGTTTGTATTCCAATACTAACTCTCACACTTACAGTGTAATAGTTAGTAAATTACTGGATTCCTCTAATTCTTAAACTCCTTATCTAGAAATTGTCCACAGATCTATTTCTAGTTCAAGTCACTGTTGAAAAACCATACACCTAAGATAATCTAGCATAGTACCTGAAAGTAACATGTGCTCATGTTAAGAAACCATTGTTTTATTACAAATCAGAATTTTATGAAGACTAGGGGTATTTATTACATGTAAAAATAATAGAATGGTTATTAAAATCAATTTTTATTGGAACATTTTTTGCTGTACATAATGACCATATTCATCTTAGGGAATTTATGCCTATACATAATATATTCTTTTCTTCCCCATTCCCTTCCCCTCCCTTCAAACCTTCTTCCTCCCCCATTTACAAAATTTAGTTTCCACTGTTTTCTTCTATACTTTTTAAAATCCTTGTTCCCTAACCAAATGGCTTCGGATGCTTAAATGTCTTCAAAAGATGATTTAATGCCTAATACTATATTTATCCAAAAGAAAATGTAAGGTAGTCATTAGTCCAAAGTCAACTGTTTTCACTGATTGTTTTTTTTTTTTTTTTTTTCATCCCAGAGACCTTTCAGTTCATTTCCAAAAGACACTATGGCTTCCCCTTCAGCCTCACCTTTTTTGTGAATGGCATGCAGGTGAACAGGTTGAGCTCCTGCTGTGAATACAAGCATCGGAAAGGCTCCAGGCTTGGAGGTAGACGGAGTTACTTTGGGTTTGTGAGCGTGGAGAAAGCCTCTCCTTGCTACAAGTAAGGAAACACTTTTCCTCTGGCGGAGGGCAGGTTTGCCTGCCTTTTTCTTCTGCTCTTACTCATGCGTTTATTAGTGCAATCTGTTAAGCAATATCAGAATGTATGAGTTTAGATGACCTGGGATAAATGATGTGCACTACAACCCTGAGTATTTGTATTTAAATTATAAGCTATCACCCAGATCTCCAGATATCTTATATCACAGAGGTAAGTAAATGTTGGGGTCCTTTTAAATCATCTCTGTTTATCTCCATTTCCGTGTGCTACTTCAATTCTGTCTCTGAAGTAAGCAAATAGAAGTTTGCCTTTGGGTTTTTGTTTTGCTTTTAATTAGTACTCTAAGTGATTTAGAGCTGGGCCCCAGCCCCGTGCCATGTGCCGTGTGCCGTGTGCTGTGTGCCGTGTGCCATGTGCCCAGAATCTACCTGTGTGACTGGACATCACGCAGGTTGTACATCTGAGAGCTGTGCCTGCATCGTGCTGTGGCCCAGTTTCATGCTCTTCCCCTTCATCCCTTTGTCTACACCTCAGGCAGAACAAGGGCTAGTGTTGAATGCTGTTTCTCAGTTTTCATGTCGGACATTCTGCTTGACATCAGAAGTTTTACCTGCAGGCTTTCTGTCATTTTTTCTGAAAATGTTCCTGGAAAATTGACAAGTTGCCAAGCTAGAACACGAGAATGAACCAACTAAAGTACATGCGAACCTGGAACTTATTTTAATAAGGAAAGGGAAGATAACATACTAATAAAGTAATTAATATAAGTCAGAGGGTGAGGGGGTTATGGGGAATAAGGAGGCTGTGCACCAGAGCAGGTGCTGTCTTATGTAGGAGAGTGAGGTAACATCTCTCTGAGAAAAAATACCTTCTTCACAGAGACCAGAAATAAAAAGTCTTTTCCTCCAAATAGCTTTTCCAGGAGAGAAAAACATATCCGAGAGCAAGAGGGAAGTGCACACTGGGGGTGTCTTAGCTGGCCTAGAAAGAGCCAAAATGAGGACTAGAGCAATGACAGGAGAGGAAGTCAGAGAAGCAGAGGGGCCACACTGCGCAGAAGTCGTGAGGTGCTGACTTAGACTTTTGTTCTGAAAAGGACGGGGGCACTGATCACAGGATACAACAATGATTCCTGTGGGGAAACATAAACCAGGGAATAGGGGAACGGAAACTGCTTTTATCCAGGGAAGAGACAGGGTAGGAATAGAAGTGATTGGGTTCAACGTGTCCTTTAAGGGTAAAGCCTGCAGTATTTACTGGTGGGTGATGCAGGGCATGAGGGGAAGAGCAAAGTCAAAGGTGGACTCAAGCAACTACTCTAGCTGCAGAACCGGCAGGAGGTCCAGGAAATGCACTTAAGAGGGGGTTGTGGGAGATGCCACTGTGGGATGGTAGTGGTGGAATGAAGTAGTTTGGGTCTGGGATTCATGTGATTTGTACTTAGAGATGATGTTTAAAGTCATGGACTCAAACGAAGCTGTTTGAGGGAAGTCGGGAGAAGCCAACATGAAAAGAAAAGGCAGTTTTTAGAAAGAGACTGATATTTTGGAAATGAACAAAACAGCTGAAGAATAAAAAGTTGACTAACTGATCAAATGTGTGGATAGGTTAGGTAGGATGAAGACCGGAGATGGACCATTGATTTGATGATGCGTCACTTCTTGTGATCTCAAGACAAGTTATCACAGTGAAATTAACTTGATTGGGATGGGTTTGAGGGACAGCTGGAGAAGGAAATAATTAAAGGCAGAGAATATAGACAGATTTTAAAAGAGGTTTGCTTTAAATAATAGTTAATGGGTGATAACCTAGGAGGGAATATTACATAGGTTCAAAAATCTTTTTACTTTTGATGGTGGAGTATTATAGCATGTTTTATGCTAATAGATAGGAGTAATATCCTACTAGAAAGAAAAGACTGATGAAGAATGACATAAAGAGGGAAACTACTGTGATGACAGTGCTCATGTTTAGTAGAGAGGAGGGGCTTGCATGGAGGTATAAGCCCTAACATGAGGAAGGATGTTCTTCCAAGGTAGCAGGGATAGAAATCAGATGCCATGTAGGGAAGACAGAGAGGAAGATGGTGGATGTGCTAGGACCAACTACAAGTTACTTTCAGGTTGATTCTCTTTTTCAAAAAGAGAATGACATTTTTCAGCTGAGTTTAAGAGGAGAAGTTGGAAGTTTTAGGAGAGAGAACAGGTGTGAAGCAGTCATCCTGAGAAGGGAAGAGAGTGGCCTAGGGCCATGCATCTGCGCCCAGCTATATTGAGGGCCCTGGATTCCTTTCATCTCCAATTCATATGCTTTCTCCTTGTTTGTGGGCAAGTCATTTAACACAGTTCTGTTTAACTCCCAGGAGCTTATATATGATCATCCATGTGCAAATACATTGCATTCTTTGGGAGTTGCTGTATAAATCAAAGATGTAAATTTTTAGCCCTGAGCATTTTGTGTGGTTTAATAATCAGTACCCAGATCTGACTGATGACATCTGCTCTCTAACTCAACACCTCCTAGCTGCTGTATATTTTTCCTCTGATTTCAGTACTGGGTCCCATCTACATTCTTTCTGCTTTCTTACTTTCTAATTGCTTACATTTCAAATAATATCAAAATGGCTTTGATTTTAAAGAACATTGGGCCAAGGATACAGCTTAGTAGCAAAGTGCCTGCCTGGTAGGGGTGAGGTCCTGAGTTTGATTTACGGTACCAAAGCAAAACAAAACAAGAATAGTAAGTTCTACTACCCTCAATTAAGGTATGCAATTCTTCAAGGAGTTTTCAGGTTTTGCTGTTGTTGTTAGCTTCAAAATCTTTTTCTTCTGATGTCATCTGTTAGGGATCAAGGCGATGTCTTTGAATATCTCTATTTTACAGCAGGTCAAAGTCAGTTCAGGCTGACTTAAATCAGCAGCCTTGGGTGGCCCAACTGCCCCGAGACTATCCCAGTTGTTCCAGAGCCACCAACACTGCAGAATTCCCTTGACAGCTGGGAACTACCACTAAGGGAACAGGGTCACTTGTATTGTGTATCATTTGTTTTGCTATATCCAGAATGGTACTTTTAGTTACCGTAGGGAGGGTGCAATAATTCCTCCATCTTGTTGAAAATGAAATTTTAATTCATTACAAAATGCTGATCCCTGAAACTTTTCCAGTGTGAAAAAGGAGGGCATGGTAAAATGAAACATTTGGGAGATTTATTTATAAAAATGATTAGGAATTACCTGCTTTAAAGTCCCCAGAGCAGAAGGACAGTGAGTGGTGGTCACTTCCAAAGCATGAAGGTTCCACATCTGTCCTTGACCCTCAAGCCCCGGGTCTGTCTGAAGAGGCACAGTTCCTACTTCCCATTGCCAGAGGGAATCATGGGAAGAAGAAATCACCAAATCAGGAGAACACAGGCTGCTTTCAGCTTCAGTAATCAGAATCAACACCTCAAATTATGCTCTGAAGTCAAATAGGTAGTCAGTGACGAGGGGAGCACAGATGTTAGTCACTTTGTTTGTCCAATTCCCTTCAGCAGATGGGCAATAAAGAGTCTGTGCATGCAACAGGGAGACATCAGAGCCTTTACATAGTCACAACATAAACTAAAAGTAACAGTGTATCAGAGGCTCCACATCAATGGATGTCGGGTTGCTACTGCAAAGGGGAGAGAAGCTGGAACAGAAGGCCAGGCTAGTAATCGTGTTCTGTGAAGTTGTATGACACCTTCATTCCAAAGAAAGCTCTGTGCTAAGCACCACATCATCCCTGTCTTGAAATATTTATCATGCTTAATAGGGGTGAGGTGAGTAGAGTTTTATTATCTTATACTTTATAGCCTGGTAGGTTGAGTGCAAATCCTTCTAGCTTTATGAAGAAATGTGAAGTGCTATCACACAGTTCTTATATTTGCTTGTTGGGAGAATTTATTAAAATCAATTCCTGTGCTAGTTGAAATCTGGAGATGCTGAAAGTCAGTGAAATCTTCAGTTTAAGAGATTGCCACTGGATTTGATTCGGTTTGAGGAATTTTTCAGATTTTAGTATTATTTCAATTTCCTGAACTGACAAGTATTGACTGCATTATGATTCTTTCTCACCTGTCTATTATAAATAACTTCTCACCTGTCTGTTATAAATAACTCAGCTCTCCATAGTTGCCTAGCATGGAGAAAGAGGGACTGTAGCGTTCTCAGGAGGCAGAAATAGGGAGTCTGAAATGTTCCAGACATGTTTTCCAGTCAGGGATTGTCTCCAGGCCTTGGTGGTGTTCTCCAGGTTGTGTTAGAGTCTGGTGTGACAGTGTGAGTACTTTCGTAGGTGGTCAGCCCAGTGGTGTGACATTTGTCTGTGTGCCTGGTCACCCAGGGGCCTCCCCCCGCCAGCAGAGCTATGCTCCTGTGTGAGGTGACCTGGCGTCCCTTGCCATCAGCAGCCTGAATAGTGACCTTGAGCAAGCCATGGAAGCTTTTCAGCCTCAGTGATGGTAATCATGGCTAATTTATTGATCTGTGGGGTAATGAATCCCTTAAGATACTGCACATACAGTACTTAGCAAAGAGAATGATGTAGAGGGAGTGTTTAGCAATCCACCAACATACTTACATTAAAATCCAAATTCTCCCTGTTGCAATTCTTGGTTTGATGTCAACTTGAGAGAAATAAAAGTTTCAGAAGACAGTTTGCTTGCTTTCCTTTTGTTATAACTGATAAAAACTTTTTAAACGTCATGACACATGAGATCATCTGGCTGGTCCACCAGTTTTGACTTGGAATGACACTCTGACTTGTATAAATTGTTGCCATTTTCCAAAAACAAAACCTTGTTCCCTGCAAAAATCACCAGAAGATTGCAGTACAGTTTCTAAAAGACCATTCTAAAAGCAATAATAGCAGTTCTATTGAAGTAAGCATGTAGACTTTTCAGCTATTTACTTAAAGGGCACAACAATAACAAAATACCAATCATGTCTATCTAGAATCAACCTTGTGTTTGTGTATTTTGTTCTATCATTGGAATAATAAATTAGCACAGATTGAATGGCATCTTCTTCTTTTTTTTCAGGAGAGGGGATCAAGCTCTCACACAAACATTCTACCACTGAACTCTATCCTCAGCTTGCTTCTGATTATTTTTAGGTTTTTAAGCCTGAATACTCTTTTGTTACATAATTCTCATTTACATTCTTGCATTACTATCTATTGATCTTCGTATCAATCCATGTATCTATCATATAGATATATAAGGTATGACAAAATACAGCAAATGTTTAAATCTTTAAAAAAGTTATTACAGTGAAAGAAACATTGCCTTTAGTCCCTGTCAAAATATCCCCCTTGCTTCAAACACACGTATCCCATCACTCTTGCCACTTTCTGAGGCAGTTCCATAGGTCGTCTTTTGTGTTATGGATTATAAACTGGTGGTCAACTTAACGCCAGCTGAATTAAATCAGCATGGTGCTGAGTGTAGATGCTCCATTTGAGGAAAGTTGCCAGCATAAATAGAGACATAGAGAGGAAGAGCTAGGCATTATGGGTTTCTCTAAGTGTTGCTGTTTGAGCTGCTGGTTCTCCTGGAGGAGCTCGTCATGACTAGCCTCCCCAGTGTGAGTTTGACCATAGTCATCGGAGGAGCTCCAGACCTTGTTGGTGAGAGTGGCTGTGGTTCACTTTGGGGGAGCTCTGGTCTTTACATCGAGCATCGCTTCCTGGCTCCAGAGAGGAAGACTTGTGCCGTTTAATCTCTAGAACAAACTTGTCATGCTAGCTATCTGGCATGTACTTGATTATTCTTATCATGGGGGGAGCTCGGGACCTCCATGTTACTGAGGATGGCTGTGGTGCTTTTCAGGACAGCTCTGGTCTTTGTTTTGAGCGTGACTTCTAGGCTCCAGTATAGAATCCTCAACCTACCAGCACAGCTCCTTCACCCACTAGCATAGACTTTCTAGCTTCCACCACTGAATTTTGGACCTTCCCAGCACAGATCTGTAAAACAGACTGGCATGAGTCCTTCTTCTGGGCACTAGACCTCCAGTTGGACTCGTGGGAGGCATTGTCATGAACTCTAGGTTTTCATCTGGACTCATGCAGGACACTGCTGTGAGATCCAGGCCCTTGGCTGAGCATTCTGTGTCTTCAGTGTTGTGGACAGATTTCCTGCACTTTCTTGTGTTAACTCTGGGTGACAATCATAAAATAATAATATAAATTCTGTGTCCTGATTCTAATTCTTGTCTTGTGAAGACAACCCCTGACTACAACTGGGAGTGTCTTTAGTTGTTCTGTTCTGGCTGTCTTGATATCCTGAACTGATTCAAAACATTTAGTTTTATGGCCACTTGGCATTTAGGGAAGACCTAGAAGTCACAAAGTGTCAGATCTGGAGGACAAGGTAGATGAGGACTCACTGTAATATTTCCATTTGACAGAAAGTGCTGTAAGTAGAAAACTAAACTGCTTCAGAAGGGAAAGAATGACAGCATGAGTGTGTTCAAAGCAAGAGTATTTTGAGGGGGACTCATCCAGTGTTTCTTTGACTGCATGAACTTTTTTTTAAGACACAAATATTCACTGTATTTTTCAATCACACCTCATAAATGTACCAACGACTATCTGAGGCCAAAAATACATTTTAAAGGACCAATTTTAACAGACTTAGTTCTTGTTTGATTTTTTCTTTATTATTACTGGAGTAAAATTATAATTTTTTTTTGGTCTTATTCCTTTTTATCGGTACCGGGGATCGAACTCATGACTGCCTGCTTGCAAGGCAGGCGCTTATGCCACTGAGCTAAATCCCCAGCCCCTGGAGTAAAATTATTAATATGTTGTGTTCATGTATGTGTTTTTAGTGTCAATAAATAGTGCATTTTAATTAATATGCATACCAGTAATATAGTATTTCTCATAACATTCCCTATTAGAATAAATATTTTAAAAGCTATGGGGTTATACTGTGTTACATGTGACAGTTAATATCTACTTTATGTTCATTTTTTCCATAGGTGTATTATTGCAATGGGCCTGGACAAAAAACCATCTCTACTGAAGCCTAGGAAAGATAAGAGCTCTGAGGACAGAATGAATCTGAGAAATGGGGAACAGAGCCTGGGGGGGCCTGTAGTGAACTGGATGCCAAGAAGAACTGAGACCGAGCAGAATAAAACCTCTGTCTCTGCCAGTTTCTCAGTGGAAGACATAAAACCAGAGGTCAAAGAAGTGAGAACTGCTGTGGAAGAAATGGAATGCAAAAGAAAATCAGGACAGGATGTTTGGGAAGACAGCCAGGGTGATACCTTTAAATATGGTAATCCATAACAGGGTTCTTTGACATTGCTACTGCAGTTAGGGCTTTTCAGCAGTCATTATCAAACATTTTCAAGACTGTCTATTATGTGTTGTTTCTCAGGGGGATCTTTAGAGAGCTCTGTTGAGATGGAGGGATTCCTGACCTGTGTTGTCAGCTGTTCTGTGTGCAGTCCTGCCTGGGCAGCTGTTGCTGGGATATGAAAGGGGACAGGGAGTTGACTGTGTCAGCCAGAGAGGTCCTGTCGACTTCCAAAGAGATCATTTTGACCAGATAGAATTTTGCCTATTGCTTTAGTTTTTTTTTTTTTAATGTACTTTCTTTGTTCAAGTCAATGAATAGCTTTGGCATTAGGCAGGTATAATCTCTATGATTGCATGGTGATAAGAGTATTATATAACTAAAAGCAATTGACACAGGCTTGGGTCCTGGAGTCCATCTGAATTTTTTCTTTTGCTTTCTTTTTTCTTTTTAGTCCTCTTGGTTTCTTCTCTCTCTCTCTCTCTCTCTCTCTCTCTCTCTCTCTCTGTCTGTCTCTCCACACAAACACACACATACATGAGAGAGAGAAGACAGACAGACAGACACACACACACACACACACACACACACACACACAGACAGATAGACACACGCACACAACTTTCCACACAGTATATTGCCACCATTTGGTGTGGTAGGTATTACTCCTCCCTGCATTTTGCATCCTGAGAAACTCAGGAAAAGCAGCTACTTGGGTTCATACCCAAGCTGGTGCACTTCCAAGTCTTAGATTTTCACATCATGTACAATTTTCTTTTTCCAAGAGGCCTCATAGTTGTGGGTGATGTGTCCAAAGATCAGAGAAATGTGAGTGCCCCTCTTCTGCCAGGAGACAAAGCCTGGATTAAGGAAGAACAGCCCAGAGGTTGGGTTACGTGTAGAACAGCTGGATTCCCAAATATCTTCTTCCTCACCTCCTCTTACTGCTGCCCAGCGGTGTCAGAAATCTGAGAGGATGATTACAGGACCATCAGAGCTCTGGACTTTGTGTTTGTTGATTTCTGAAAAAGTATGACTATCTTAAAAAGATTCCTCTTTTTACCCATTTTCCCTCTGTATGAACCTTACTAGTGTTTTTTTCTTATCTTGGGTTGAGAATTTTAAAATAATGGTAGCTACAGCAATTGCAAAGACATCCACATGGAATGCTTTTGTGTGTGTTCACTTTTAAGGCCTGGAGGTTTATTAAATCCATGACAAATGCTAGTCTTTCATTTTTGTCATAACTTTTCCTCAAACCAACATGGTTGTTACATGGGTTGTACAAGGGATAGTCTTCGTGCATATGATGCAGCATTTTCTGAGCTCTTTCTTTGGTGTTGGCTGCTAATGGGCTGTAAATGCCCATTTGTATTAAAATTCCCAGAGCAGCAGGAGTACTAGGGCTTTGGCTGTCTGCAGAGCACCCACTGATGTCCAGCAATGAGAAGCCAGAGAGAAGGGTAAGGGAGAGGGCACAGGCAGCCAATTGGTATTGACCTGGGTCTCATGAGTGGCATGGAAAGCAAAGCAATTTACTCTCTAGAAGAGAAATGGGGTGTGGGGCCAGAAAACATCACAAAGAGGAAGGACACCAGGAAGGATGCCACTGGTTTGTTCACATCAAAAGCTTGGGTAGGCTCCCAAAGGAGCATGCCTTGTGCTGTGATGACCATGGGATGGATGTGTGTGGCTGTTGGAAGACCTGGGATTTAGATATGGGGGTTAGAAGGGTGGGTGGAGTCAGGCAGCCTTGGATTCTTTAGAGAGAAAATGCAGAATCATCTTCAAAATAGGATGCAGGGATTTTTTTTTCCTGTGGTTCATTACATGTTCTTTCAATTTTATGCTCTATTTTAATAATATAACTTTAACTGCATCCTAATGGTGGACACTTGTACTGCCTGATTTTAATCAGGTGCCTCTGTGAAAATGAACTACTGTCAAAGGGGCAAATAGTGCAGGCGATTTCTCCTGCTTTATGACATTCTTCCTCTACCCAGTTACAACCACTATTGCAGCTAATACCTGGTATTCATTAGACACTTGCAGTACATAGTCAAAGATTATTGCTTTTAATGTTGTCATGCAACAGCAAACATAAACACCAAAACAACACCCATGACTTGGAGGCAGATTTATTTATGTGGACAGGCTCTATTGGGATCACTCCCAGAGTATCAGGCCCTGTTCTGGGGTGGCCTAGGGCTTATACGGGATAGGCAAGCCAGAAGTACAGAGGCAGAATGGCTTGTCAATTGGGGATTGGTTTATACAATATGCCTCAGTAACCAGCTATGCATCACAGTGACCAACCATTTATAAGAGAAAGAAGCAACCGGAACTAGAACAGGAAGCTTAAAGATATTCAACAAGTTGCCTGAGGTCAGATAACCAGGAAATGTTTTAACCAGGTGTTGAAAACACAAGGACCAGACTCCAAATGGCATCTTTCCTACTGCGTAATAATCTACTATCAGTGTAATGATGGCGATCCACTCACATTCTGTGTGGCTCCTTACTTGTGATCAAGTGCAGATATTGTAAACTAACATTTTTGCACATGTCCTGTTAATAATATCAGCTTCTCCTTTTATGAAGTCTCTTGCAAGCCTCATTTTCTATGGTCAAGTTTAATGTATACAGTAGGTACAGTAGGAGATTATTGTTATAACACTCAAATAGAAAAGCTATAACCATGTACTATAACAAAAGTTATTTAAAACTTAGGAGTTGTTTAATTGCTGGAATTTGGGATGTAATGTTTTCGTACTGCAGTTGTTTTCAGGTGACTGAAACCACAGAACAAAAAATTGTGGCTAACAGAGGGGACAGTGACCTAATGCAGTTGGTACTACTTCGCCTAATTGATCATGAGTCCTGGGTAAAAATCCACAGCCACTGAGCTACAGCATTGGCACTAACATGGCTAAGGGCCCTGCGTGGAAACTACTACAAAATGAGCCACTACTGCTTGTGTTCTTATGTTTTATCTCCTCAACAAAACCTGGAGTTGATGGCAGATGTGTCCCCTTGGTGTTTTTTTTTTTTTTTTTTTAATTCTTTCACATAGAAACTTCTCAGGAACTGTGCCAACTGGGGACCTGTCCTGTGCCTGGTCAGCACAGGACAATTGGATTAAAATATTCATTTGTTAGTCTTAGTGTTTCCTATTTGTGTCACGCAGTAGGAGCCAAACTCTCCATCTTTTTGGTTGTTTTACAGTTTTATTTTGATGACACTCACATTCCTTATTTACACATAATAAATCGCTTTAGTGAAAATATTTCTGTAAATTCTTTTTTCCTCTTCTTCATTATAGTTTTGATTTGCCAGTTCCTCTTACATCTTTCTCATTTGCTTTCTGCTTCAACTGAGTGTTCACGATATGCACAGGGCATACATTTCTAAACTAGTTTTCTTTTACTGCAGCAAGGTGGGTCACTTTCAAATAAATGCCCTAGAGGCCCTAGCCCACTGGAAGGGAAGCCAGGATATCTAATAGTTAAAATCCACAAAATTAGGAACATTTATTTTACTTGTAATTTTTACTTTAAGGGTAATTGTTTATTTGCTTAATTGGTTCTGCATGAGAAAATTTTGCTCTTCCTCTTTGGCATGTTGTCACTTAAAGATTTTTAGCTTTTGGTGGAGGAAAAAGGGGAACAATTAAATATGAAAGGTGAAAAATTATAGCCACAAGGGACAGCTGGAGTTTATACGATGTGACAATTTCCTTTTTCTGCTACAGATTGGTCGCACCCCTGTAGGGATGAAGCAATTTGTAGCTGTGACAGGAACATTCTATTTTGTAGGAATTTTTACACTTGGAACGTAATTATTTTATTCATTGCAGGAATGAATAATATATATGGTTGGAATTCTGGCTTGGGTATAGAATCCTTCCTAATACCTTTTTAATGTCCGTTTGTGTCTCAAAGAATGTGCTATTCAAAGTGTTACTTCTCAGGGCATTGGGACTTGATTAATTGAATTTTTCCACTTCACTGTTCATTAACTTGATATCCAAATATTTTGAACACTCTTCATATGAAATATGACCTCACTGGGTCTCCAAATTAACTTTCATTATTATAATCCTGTTCTCTTCATTTTTAATTTACTTCTAATTTATTGTCTTGTGGCAAGTTCTTCTTTTTCCATTGTGGTCATTGTAAATGGATGGTATCCATTTGTAAATGAACTTTTATTAGGTTTCAGTCTTGTCATTTGGAGGTTCATTTCCTTTATATTCTCATATATGTAACTGGCTGCAATCTTTGATCACTTACTGTTAGTTTCCATGTTCACTAATTGTAAGAAAAGAAGCAGCAAAGAAAGAACAGGAGGAGATAGGATAATAGAGTCAAACTTCTCATTAAAGAGAGATGTGTTAAGTACCAAGGATTCTATTTTCATTCTTACAGTGGAGATTTTCTTATTTCAGAGTATGAAGAAGATTTTGAAGTAGATGACGAGAAACAAGATGAGAAAGCTAATGAAGAAGGACAGGCTGATGATCAAATGAATGGAATATCAAAGTCACCCTCAGAGGATGAAAAAGATAATTTAGGCCCTGAAGAAGAGAGCGCAATCTCGCCACAGAAGGCACCGGATGCTGATGACAGTGAGAAAGATGAGGATGATGGATGCTCTGAAAGTGAATTGGATGAGGACAAGCAAGGCAGGTTGCTTAGCGTATCATGGAATAGGCACAGACACAGGCTGCCGCCCAGCGCACCTCCTACTTTTCCTTTATATTTTAATAAGATAATTTGTTAAGGGAATGTGTACAGTGTGGTTATTTAAGCACAGGGTGCTGGTCTGTAAGCTTGTGGTACACACCTGAATTACAGAGTCAGCCCTTAGTTCTTTCTCTTTCTTAGTTTGATGGGAATTTTCAGCAGGGCGTTAGGCAAATTGGGTAGTGACATACCTTTGGTTTGGTTAGATAATTATTCTGCATGTGCCCCAAATTTCCTCTTATGTACAGATGTGTGTGCATACACAAACACACACACACGCGCGCGCACACACACACACACACACACACACACACAATCTTACGAGTTTGAAAATTGAAAACAAGCTGCTATTCATTTTAGTAAAAATTGAAGATTTCTATGTTTGTTCTATTTCTTCCTTTTTCCTCTTTTTCTGCTTCCTTCCTTCCTTCCTTCTTTTCTTCCTTTCTTTCAACTTTGTTTGAACAAAGGATGCTTTCATGTTACTTCATGGTAGATTTTATGGTAGGTTTTTAAAAAATCTTTTTAACTTAAAATAATTTAAAATGTTTACAGAGAATATTTAGAGCTTTCTGACAGAGAAATAAACCTTTTTTTGAGGCATACAATATTTCAACTTTCAAGAACTTAGTAAAGATTTTAATTCACCTAAATTCTTTCCAATGAAAGAAGGAGCACAGTTTCTTCTTTGTCTTAGGAGAGTATTTGGTCAAGCTTCTGTGGATTTTAGTTAAGAAGATATCTGTCTTGATATGTCTTGGGCATATACTGTATTAATAATAAGTGTGTTGGATATGTGTATGTTTTTATAATTTGCTCTTAACTAGAGAACAATGTGACATTTTGGTGATTTTTTTTTAGTTTATCTATTTTTCTATTCTTTTCATCTCTCAAACTTTTGTTCTATAAAATTTCAAGATTTTGAGTTCAGAAAGTATATTACAACATGTAAGAAGAAATGAAGTAATCATGTCATCATCAGAAGAGCAAATATTTAGCTTATACCGTAGTTCTCTGCTCTTCAGAAAAGAATCTAAACCTTTTTAAAAGTTCACACGTACTTCTACAAGGCAAATAAAATAGATTATTTAAAATAGATTATTATATCTCTTGTTGCTATAAACAAGAGATGGGATCATAAGTGCCCCTGAACTAAAATTTTAATCCTGACTTCATGACCACCAAAGTAAAAAATGAAGCACAAATTGAAAAATTCAAGTGAGAGTAATTATCAGTAAATTTTAAGATTTGTATTAATGTTGACTTATAGCCTTTTTATTTTAGTATTCTGATATAGTTAAAAGAACAACTTAAGAGTAATCATCAGGCAATTAAATATTTTTTTAATGCTTATACCAAGGCTTTTCTATAATTTCTTGGTGCTTACATTTGATGTTTCCTAGATTACGTGCGCCTAATATGTAAGCCCTTTTCTCAGTTTGAAAGTGAATTTTGGAGTTATTGATATTTTGTCTGATACAGAGAAAGTTAAAGAATTGAATGGAAATGTGGTATCACCTGAGTCAATAATTTTAAGGAAATTGTCCACATGATTTGAGCCTGGAGGATTAAAACTACGTTTGCATAGAAACAGCAGATTCAAAACACAAAAACTTAATTTTTTATTTGTATGGTAATGATGAGAAATTATCAAGTGGTTTGTTTCAAAAGCTATAGTATACCCTGGATATTCAGTTATCTGGTTATTATTAATGTTTCTTTTTCTTTTTCTTCCTCTGGTACTAAGAATTGAACTTAGGACCTTGTACTTGTCAGGCAGATACTGTGCTGCTGAGCTATATTCCTGGTCCTTAGTTATTATTTTTGTGCTACATAATCACTTTGCTTTTTGAGGACCTGAGATGCAATAATATTTTATGTTCAAGTAGAGAAGGATATGGGCAGTACTGTGACTTCCCTTGGCAGAAAAGCTTTAATCCTTTAGACCTGTAATTACTCATTCATAGCAATAGGTAACACTCGAAGCCTAGCATTTAGAGAAAACTGTAACTTCTTCAAAATCAGAAAATATCCTCTTGCCTAAAATTAATTTTCCCCAATAAAATGACTTCGTTTCCTCCAGGTTATATATTTCACAGGCTGAACTCTATTGGATGTTATTGTCTAGCTTCTATTTTGTGTTTGTTTGCTTTGTTTTTTGCCTTATTTTGCTTTGAAAAGGAGGAAATAAAACAGCTCCCGTTTCCTCTCCCTGGGTGCCCTTGGCTCACAGGCCTTTAGCTTAGGTCTCGCCCAGGCCCTGTTCTCTCCCGTATCTTGACCCTTTTCTAGCAGCCTTTCCAGAGCTCTTCGTTTTATGAAGTCCTATCACGTATTTCTCATTCACTGCTTCACATGTATTAAGTTCTGCCCCTCTAGTTAAATTTCACATGTTGGTAATACCCAGCTTGGTTATACTGTGAGAGCTAATGCTGTGTTGTTCTTGCTAATCCTCACAGAGCCACTTTATTAACAGATAATTTATATTTAAAAAAAAAACTACTTGCCTGTAATTAAAAAAAAAAAAAAAACAAAAAAAAAAAAACAAAAAACCATTGTAAACACCAAGAATTGTAAGGTGCTGTACTGAGCACCATGACTTCTAGTTACATTCCTGTGATTTGATTTTGGGGATCTTTACTGAAAAAGATTATCTGTATATTTAGATACAGAACATACAATGTTTTAAATAGGTGTGCAGTGAAAGCTAATGAGAAACAGAGGCAGTGCTCCAAAAGCTGAGAAATTTAAGAACCAGAAATTAAACTGATTGGCTATTTTCTTTGTCATTTTAATAATATCATCAAGCCGTCCTTCTAAAGGGCCCTTTTACATTCTGGGTATTTATATTATAACATTACTTTTAATCTGAAATAAAATCTCATTACAGTAGTTATTATTACTGTTTTTCCTCCTCCCCTTTAGACTCCTTGTTCTTTATCCTTTTATGTTGATAATCTGCTTTGGTGTTATTAAAAAAAAGAAGCATTTACCATTCGAGGTATCACAAATAGAGATTTCATCCATCCAATAAGTGGCATGCATTAAAAATGATAACGCCATGACAGATTCCTTGAACCGCTCTTTTGAAAAGCAAAACAGCACTTCATCCTCAAAAGTGGAGGAGGCGTATTGTGACCACTGAATGCCAGACACTAGTACATCCTTTTTATTGACATGATTAAGGATCTTGCTGTTGGTATTTGGATGTGTTTCATTTGAACCTGACTGCACCTGTTCCCAGAGGGCAAACAATTGCCCGGACTGTCACTCCGGTGACAAGTCGGCCCCATTTAAACTGCCAGCTAACAATCGCGCTGTCCTGCCTTGATGAATACACCGCGCTGAGCAGCCACGGAGTGATAGAGTGCAGGCGACTGGAAGCTGTCGGGGAGAGGACTCTGCTTCAGGAGTGATGTGGGAGACTTCCTATCAGTTAGAAGGAGTGGCAGCTTGCTTTCTCTGCATTTGTGTTGGCAACCCCAGGCACTAATTTACCAGGTGAAAATATATTGTCATAGATGAATGGTATAAGATTGAGGGGCAGAGTATCATGTCACCAGGAATATACTGCTTTACTTTTGTGGACAGTTTGGATGGTAGCGTCTATGAATAAGAGGTAAACACTTACTAGCTCCTTAGGGAAAGAAAGAGGGGAGAGAGAGACACAGCAAGAGACAGAGACAGAGAGACAGAGACAGAGAGACAGACAATTTTTTTTTCTGGACTATGAAAAAGCAAAACCTGAAGCCATTTTTTTCAAGCAAGAAAGATAATTTTATTTGTGCTGCTTTCGTTTATCAGTCTGTTAGAAATAGACTTCATAGTCTTTTAAAATCCCAGAATCCCAGAAACACTATTTAGCTTACTGACACCAAGAATCTCACCGACTGAATAAAGAATCTTGCCTGATGATGAGTTTGAAGAGAAGCATCTGGTAACATCTCCTGTTCTAAGCTGAAATTCTGTGTGCTGTCCCCCTGGGAACTTTGGTGTGCTGAACCTGCTCTTGGGACCAGAGATGATTATGGGAAGACTGTAGGCTGCTGTTGGACAGAAGTTTATCTGTGATGTTTTTCATGGTTAGATTTTTTTCTTAACAGTAAGAACTCCTCAATCTGCAGTCATGGGTGATTCTTAAAGCAGGAAATGGTAGCTTTAAGGTGAATATTAAATGCAGCACCATCTATTAATTTAGAGAAAATATTTTTATATGAACTATTCCTCTACAGTTTTGAATCTGTCCTGTGTACATCACTGGCATTACCTAGACACTCAGGGAGCTCTTATGAATGAAGGAGGCTGGCTGCATGCCTGAGTAACAATGTATGGGGACTGATTGTGCATGATAGATCAATGATTTGATTATACATTCAGTACTGTAACTTTATCTTTATGCTTAAAGAGTACAACGAAAGGTGAAAATGGAGGAAACTTTACACTTTCTTTGTGTCTTCCTCTCTTCCTGCTATATCTGCATTTACCAGTGAATATATATCCATACAAAGTAATGCATACATTTTTCTTATTGATGAAGTGAGGCATTTCAATTTGTGATAATTATCTGTGTGAGGACATATGCTCTCTTCTATGATAAATGACTAGTTACTAACTCACCTGGAATTTAATGATTTCTGTTTTCATTAAGCACATTGTCATATTACAGTATTTACTGAGTATGATGTACTTGTCTAATTAAGTATTGTCGTATGTGAAGATAATGATTCAACCCCAATATCTGGTATGGAATATAAACAAATTTTCATGAACTTATGAAGATAAGAAAGACAGATATCCACATACAACTTGAGGGCATATAAATTTGTGTGCCATAGCTAATTCAAAGAAAGTAGAAGCATTCTCATTCAGATTTTGCATAGAAAATTTAGATTAAGAAGAGAGGTTTGATTATTATTAGAGTTCAGAATATTAGGTTTATTGAACATCTGTGATATGCCATTGAGATGTTCTAAATTTTAATTGATTTTACCTATTTGATTTTTTGCAATTAAAATGAGATGTCTATTTAGGTTTCTGGCTAATAAACAAAAAATAGAGTTGTATAAAGTTTACTAATTGACAAATTAGTGAATGTAAATTTTCTGTATTATAGGTAATAGTTGTAGAATATATTTAATCTCTTTTAACTTTATTTTCCTAGTCTGTGGAAAGAAGGCAAGAGCAACTCCATAGGATTAGTGAGCTATTGTAAAATTCTTCAATGACAGTAGTTGTATGATGGTGACCAAACATTATTCTTTTCCTAAATAACTGTGATATCACTCTTAGCATAGCATATTCTGGATAGAATAACAAATAAATTTATGATCCTACACTACATGCATAATATAAAAGGCTGCAAGCTATCAAGAAATGATCATTTAATTTGATTAGGTTAACTTTTTTTCCCTCATGTAATTGTTTTACAATGATTTGTGGAACTCAAGCAGGATCATCTCCATTTGCCCAGAAAATAGAGGCTTGGAGAACTTAAATAGCATAAATGATCTCAGAGATACTAACTAGCTGGATTATGATGGGGACATCTAGGTTTGTATTACAGAAGGAAGTGTTACTTATGCCAATTTCATGTTTTGTGAGATAAGATTTTAAGTGCTGTGACACAAAGAGAAAACAAAAAGAGAAACAGTCATCAGTGAACAGCTACTCCTGACATAGAGAGGGAAGGATTTGGGGACTGTTGGATGTGGAGAGAGAACAGTCAGGGGTTCCCTCTTTGGCCATGGAACGGTGGTTTCACACCTGCTGGCTTTGGCCAGGTCTTGAGTACTGAGTGCAGATCCTATTTTGCCTAAATAAATAAATAAATGCAGGCCCTTTCAGCTGGAGGGAGCCTGGAGAGACAACTAGAACTGGGTAGGAAGCAGAGACCAGCAAAAGCCTCCAAGATAGTTTTCCCCTCTCTAATGACAAAAATTTACATATGTGCCAGAAAAGTTCCTTTTCATGAATGCTTTTACAGAATATTTGTTTCATTTCTAAGCAAATAAATAAAAGTCATTTTGAAAATCCCATTACAGGCCCTGAAGCTTTCTGAGCTTTTTTTTTTTTTTTTTTTTTTTTAAGGCAAAATCTTACCCCAGTGTCTGTATGAAAATGAGAGCAAGAAATGAGACTGAAACTAAATTATACCGTGAGGTGAAAGAGAAATTGGAAAACTGAAATGAGTTGATAGGGGAGGTCAGGTGCCCTTGCCACTCGGAGCCCATTCTTTCTCTGCAGAAGGACTGACTCAAAATTGAACCAGAGCACATGTCAGCCTTTTGAAATAAAATAATACAATTAGTAGAAGCTTCGGAAGAAAGATAAAGGACTGCTCATTTTTCATTATGTGGACAACTCTCAAGAACCAAAAGTGGAGTCATAAAGGAGCCCCTGATAATAGATATATTTTCTGTAGCTCAGAACGAGTAAAACACTGTGTCCTAGACAGCTGTGTAATTAATGAAAGCCACTGATTAAACCAGTAATAAGCAAGAGCTGTTTTTCTTTATTTAAAATGCAAATATAAAATGCTTAAAAAAGAGGGAGACCATGAACCCTAAAGTTTCTAAATGGATACAAATAAGACAGAGAATACCTCTCCTTCATCTGCCATGTTCCCTGCCAAGACAGCCTCTCTAGATTTTATAAAATGAAAAATAAAACGTAAGTGGCTAAAGTGTGTGATTTCTTTGAGGAGTAGTGGTCGCCGGTGCTTGTCAAGGTATTGAGAATTGTTGCTCAATAGGTTTTTCTCTAGTTTTTGTTGTGTTGTTTTGCTTTCTGTCTAGTGTCTCTCAAATCATGGTGGGAACATTAATGTGTCTCTGTGACTGTCATTAACATGCTAAGACCTGTCACAGGGGTTGGTGGGCTGAAGAAGGAGAGAGACGGAGAGAAAAGAGGCAGAGAAAGGGGTAAAGGTGAAAATAGGCATTTATTTTTTTCCCCTTAAACTCGGCATTAAATGCTACAGCTATCTGGGTAACTAATTGTCACACAAATAAAAGAAATAGGAAAAAAGGGTGGTAAATAGCACAGAGAAAATAGAGGTAGGCGACATTTAAATACAGGCTGTTCTATCTCAAAATGCACTCTATAAGAAACAGTTATAAACACAGATTCTTGCTGTAAAAAGCAAAAGCCAGTTTCTATCTCAGCAATCTGTATGATACCAGATATTTACAAAGGCTTTGCATTGAGTTGACTTTCAGAAAGCTTAAATTTTACCTATTGTTAGAGACTTCCATAGTTCGTAGATTACATTTTTCTTTGGTGTGACAAGTACGTGGACTATATTGGAATAGGAGATCAGAACTTGTTTAACTATATATTTTTTAAAGCTTGATATGATTACATACAACAATAATGATGTCACCAATTTTATCTTTTATAGATACTAGAAGTATTTCATCAACTTCATCTAGAAGTTTCCCATGTTCTAGTGACAGTGAGGATGACTCTGCAGAACTGGGCAGGGAAGCCCATGCTGAGCACAGCATGGAGGAAGATGCCCGAAGCTCATCTTCTCGGGAGCTGAGTGAAGATGACGAACCAAGAAAATCCCACCTCCGAACCAAAGAATTCTTTGAAACTGAACTGGAAGACCAAGAAATAAGAAAAGCAGATGTGGAGACCATACCCCTGCCAACAGAGGAAAGCTGCGGGAACATTCTAAAAGGAGAAATGGAGAGAGGAACCCAGGGCATGACAGAGCACTCATCTGAGAAGTCCAGGAAAAATGCTTGTGAGGAGGAAAAGGAAAAGGCTCAGGGCCAGCTTTGGCGAGGAAGCCCTGCCAAGGCGGAGGCCAGGAGGGCAGGTGTCCTTGGGGTGGAGAAAGGCGGTAAGTATGGCCGCTGAGTTGACTTGCTGTTGTCCTCATGCATGGAAGCTGATTGTGGCCATTTTCACTGCCAAAGTCGGGAAGCACCACTGTGATGATACCCGGGGGACTCAGTGCTTCCCATTTCTTCCTGTCACGCAATCATACCTGTATGTCAATGATCACACCTGTACGTTCAGCTTGCTGTTTTCCTGCTGTTGCATTTTAAAAAAATTATTTGATAATTCTTACATTCTGTTTCTTATTTTCTGTAATTCCTCCTTGTGGTAATTCTATCTCAAGAATCAAATAAAATGAAATGCGTGTCTGAATGCAAGGGTATGTTTGGCCTTTTAGCACTTAATGCTAGCAATGCTCTTTGTTATTAGCTATATATGCATTTGTAGACCCATGGCATGGTTCTAAATACATATGATAACTCATTGCCCCCTACAACAGCCCAGTCTTCTCTTGAGGTAGGTTTTATTACCATTTCTTTTCTGAGGATGAACAATGAAAATATGGCTTGAAGAAGTCAGGTAAATTGTTAAGTACATAAGGACAGAGGGCTTCTGAAGATTTGCATTCAGGCTGATGAGTTGCAGAGTTTCTAAGGATTTCCTATTGTATCCATGTAATTGAGATTTGCTTTGAGATAAAATTGTAAACATCATCTAATCTCAAGCTTCATTTTGTGTCCATCTCTGAAAATGAATTATCTCACAATTCCTTGGGGTTCCCACCTGTGCAGGGTGCTCCCATTGGACGTAGAAGGCTGAAGAGTGTTAAAATAATCAGGGTGCAGAGTCTCTGACATGTGGAAGGCTGGATGCCTTTCTTACTTCTGAAGGACAGAGACAGGATCAGTGGTCACTCTTCTTAGTTCTGAGAAAAATGTTTTCAAATTTTCGTATTATAGAACTCTGCCTGTGATTCAAAAACTTACGAACTCCTCTAATGTCTCTGGTTATTTTAGACCTTTGACAATTGCTATTAACCCACTGGAGTCTACATTTTTCTGGTCCACCATTGATACTAACCTTGTACTATATTTGAGCCATCATCATCACTAAGATATATGTTAAGAGAGAGTTCTTCCCATAAAAAATGTAAAAGAAGATTTGGCACACCAACAAAAGGCAGAGTAGCTATCCATGCATAAAATCAGAGAAGGTACAAAATGCTAGAGAGAGAGGTTTCGGTTGGTTAAGGATACCTTGCAAGTTTTCATGAGGAACATGCTTGAGAAGGACTTTAAATATCAGATACAATTATACAATTTTGAAGGTGGGATACAGCACAATAAAAGTATTTCAGATAATGGTATATGACAAGGAGCATAACCTTAAAGTAAGTTATAAAAAATAGCTCTAGTACAAGATAAGAATTTTTTTTGTTTTTAAATGGTTCCCAAAGCCCTGGAAATTCACTATTTAGGCCTTTCCTGAAAAAAAAAATCTGTTAACTAACCTCTTCCCCAGAATTATAAAGGAAAGACTTTCAGCTTCAAAAGGACTTTGATATATATGATTCAAAATTATTATTATATAATATTTTAAATACTTTTATAAAGTAATCCTAATCTTTGATCTTGAATTTCATTGTTAAATTCAAATAGATTATACTGTGTAATCTGTACACAAATTGACCATCTTTTAATTAAAAAGATAAACGGATAGAATGGCTATAACTCAATTCTCTCTGTCTGCCTTGTGTCAGGCCTGAAGATTGATCCACAACATAGAAAAAACAAAGATGGGGAGTTAACACTCAGTATTAACATTGACATTATTATTCTTAATTTACATGAGAAAACTACACTGTTGACCCAGACTGATGTAAGTAGACATCTTTTTATAAAGAAGGATGCACACTGGGTGTGTGGTACTTAGTTGCTGGCTAGAATAACTTAGCGGAGGGGTTGTATTATAATCATTGTGTTGCGATATCACTTAGATGAGGGTAGTTTTTTCCCCAGACTAGGAAAATGTTGTGTTTCGGTTTATTATTTTTCTCAAATACATTGGGAAACCTGTATTTTTGACTCAATGACATCTATAAGTTGGAAACATTTTATTGCTTTATTCAGGTGAGTTCAAGCTAGATGGGAAAGTGTGGGGAAGTATTGACCTTTTCTTAAATTTTTGGTGTTACTAGTACATGTCTGCAGTTCACAATGATTACATTTTTCGTGGGCAGTTAGTCCATGGATGCAACACGTCTTGTTTCCTGTTTTATCCCGCTCATCTTGGCTCTCTTCTCATCTGCAGAACTCCATGTCCATTTCTTCCATTCTGTTTTAACTCCCCTTCTCTCCTCTCCTTCTCACTTCCCTCCATCTTTTGTTCCCCATCTCATTTGTGGAAGATCTCCCTGCTGCCTGTCCTGCATTTTTATTTTGTTCTTTATTTATATTTTGTGTTTCCTATAGAAGAGAAGCCATGAGAAACTGAAGTTTTGTGTGTCTGATTTGTTTTACTTGATGATGTGGTCTCAAGGTGCATCCTTTTAGCTCCAAATGACTGAAGTTTATCTTTCTTTACAGCAGATTCATACCATATTGTGAGGGTTTTTTTTTTTTTTTTTTGTACCAGGAATTGAACTCTTCCATTATGTATAGATACCCCAACTTTTTATCTGTTTATTAGTCACTGGACTAATAGGCCACTTTCAAGATTTAGCTATAATGAGTGGTGTTGTTTTAAGTAAGGGAATGCATATATCACTGTTGCATAATGTCTTGAAATAAGGGGACTAGCTGGGTCCAATGGAATTCCTAGTTTTAATTTCTGGGGACTCTTACTGATTTCCATAGTGGTTGTACTAGTTCCCATCACCTCCCCCCACCATGATTCAGAAGGGCTCTTTTTCTCCTGCAACCCTACCAACATTTTTGTTATCATCTGGTTTCTTGAGGATGGCCCTTCTTTGTTAATTTTGTTTTTGTCCTTTTGAGCCAATGCCTTGGCCTCACTTTGTAGCCCAGGCTGGTCTTGAACTTACCTTGCTTCAGCCTCCCAAGTGCTGGAATTACAGGCATGCGCCACCATGCCTGGCCGAGGATAAGACTGGATCTCAGAAGCTTTGTAATTTTGTATGACCCTATATGCCATTTGTTAATTCTTTGTATTGCTTTTATCACTGAGAATCTCTTCAGAAAGTCCTTGGCTGTGCCTTCCAGCCAGTTAACTGTATTTGTTTTAGCAGTGAAATCTTTGATCAATTTTGATTTTAATTGAAAGCACATGAGACATATGGGTAGAGCTTCAATTTTCTGCATGTAGGTATTTAATTTTTCTAGCATCGCTTATTAAATAATAAATTATCTTTCCTCCAGCGTATGTCTTTGGCCCCTTTGTCAATGATCAAATACCTAAATGTGCCTGGGGTTGTTTCTGCTTCTTTCTTTCTTTTCCTTTGGATCACATGTCTGCTTTTGTGCCAGTGTCATGCTGTTTTCTTTATCACAGTCTCTTTGCAGCATAGTTTCATATTTGGACTGTGATGTCTCCTGCTTTGCTACCCAGCATTGCTTTTGCTGTTTGGGTCCCTTCTGAGACTGTTTATCTTTGTTAACTCTAATATACATACTGATTCCCTTTATTAACCTTTATGTTCCATGGCCATGTAATGCATAGACACAGAATAATAGTTACAGAACAGAGAAGGTAGATTCAGTAATTACTCATAGATTTAGCATATACAAAAAGAACTCTCAACATTTAGCCAGAGTTTTTACTTTTAAATCTGGCTTCACTGTCATATTTTTATATAATGTCTTCTGCTTTATATGTTGTGTACTGTCAGTCTTTACCCTATCTTTATGCAATTTTATGAATATGTTTAATGTCTAGATATTTTTATTCTGTGTTTTTCATATATATTAACCATTTAGCTATTGTGGGATATTTATATTTTTCCCACTTTCATTATTATTACTAATACTTTAGTATATTTTACCTATGTTATTTCAAACATATTTATTTTCTTTGAATAGTTTCTGAAAAGAGTAATTTTGGGGTTCAAAAGGTGTAGTTTAAAGATTTTAATATTTTTTAAGGAATTGGTTTAATATAGAAGAATATGGAACAGATAAAGAGAATGTATTCCTTGCTAAACTCCTTCTCAACAATAACCATAGATAGTTTTTGTGTATGAGTCTAAAATATTTAAAGGTATTGATATGTATTAACTTATGACATAGTGATATATATCACATGTAATATATATGTATGAATATATACATACACTACATATGTGCATAAATCTCTATTATTTTTTATATACATGAAAAATAATTTTATTCAGCAACTCACTGTTTTCACTTAACATTTATCTTTGATGTCCTTTTTCATCAGCATATATTTGTTTTATATTATTCACACTGCACATATTGCATTGTGTAGCATTTCACAAAAGCAAATTTTGTTTCAAACATGTCACTTCAAGAATTCATAGTTTGTTCTTTGGGTCATTTCCCCTAAAACAGCAAAATTTCCCAGAAACAAGAAATACAAAACACATTGCAAAACATGACAGGAATAGGTAAAACAAAAAGGAGATCATGGAAAATATTCAGAATGATGGAGAGGATTTATGCTATTGAGAACATAAGGATGAGTACATTACATTAATGATTTTTAAATGTAAATACTCAAGGAAATGATACAGTGTATCTCCAAACAGTTTAAATAATGGAATTAAGTCATAATAAAATGTCTAAGAAAATTTTAGGTAAAACCATCAAGGTTCTGACTGCGTAGTTCACAACAATCATAGTGATGTCAGACACACTGACAAGCTTTTTCATTGTGGGAAGAAAATATCTGACATTCACACGTAAAAGACATTGATTTAGCTGTGGCTTCTGAGAGTCAGTCCATCGTCAGCAGGCTGGAAAGCAGAAGTGTCATAGTGGGAAGGAGTCGTGGAGCCAGGCTGCCTCGCTCATGGCAGCCAGGAAGGAGCCATGTAGACCCTCCGTGACCCCCACACACAAGCCCAGAAGTGTGTTTCACAAA